ATGCTGAGAAGGTAAGGGAAATGGCTCTCAGTTGAAGCTCAAGGTGGTAGGGGTGCTGGGGTCCCTCCCTTGGCTGGAGGCTGGATGAGTCAAACTCTCTAGTCAGCTCAGATGCCCCCTTCCATCTCTCAGGCCCTAAGACCTTAGAGGATGGGGTCCCTGGGGACAGAAACAGAGAGCCTGGGGATCCAGCTCTGAATCACCCCAGTGCGGGGTCCTCCCCTGACTCATTTCCCTTTTGGGTACCTCGTGATGACTGTCCATTCGAGCTGGCTTCCCCATCTGATGGGGAGAGGGGTGTGGCCTAGGTCCCTGGAAGGGAGACTCAGGCCCTTCTACTGCTCAAAGTTGCTCTTGGGAATGGTCCCAAAAGATGTAGGCTGAAGCGCTGATTCACACATTCATGGGTAGTAACGAGTGATGGGCCCTGAGGCCCCAGTTCTTATGACTTTGCCTTAACTAAGGAAGAATGCTGTAATGGTAGGATTTCTGGCACTGTAACAGAAATGGGCACATCCTAGCACCTCTCAGACGGCATTCAGTCTCTGCTGGGGTCAAGCACCAAAGCCTGGGACAGGGAGGTGTGGCAGGGGGTGGCCCAGGGCTATCTGGGGGGCACCACCCCTTGCCTCTAGGAAGCTGAAGAGTGGGTGGTTCTGTCACCAACCAGGCCTTCTTGGTGAGGAGAGAGGAGAGAGAAAACAAGAGGGGTAGGCAGAGGACAGGAGGGAGGTGGTGGTGAAGAGGCCAGACAGAAAATGCCTGGGAACAAGGAGAGCAGCAGCAGAGCTGAGAAGAGCTAAGAAGCCGCTGGAGGAGGCCAGGGGTAGCTGGAGGAGGTGGAGGCTGGGGTGCTTGTGGGGCAGGATGGCTCCCTCCCCATTTCACACCTTGAAGCACGCCCCCTTCCTGGCCTGGGTGTCTGAGGCGGGTATTCGCTTCTTGCTGTCACTAGGTGCCCTTTGGGCACCAACTCTGTCACAGAAAGCCTGCTGGACGCAGGGAGCCCAGTCGGCACTGGGGCGGCCCTACTGGGCATAGAGGACAGTCCTGCGCGGAGCCACGCCCTAGGCAAGCGACCCTGGGGCCGACCTCAGATAACCAGAGCCCACATGACCCCTCAGATACAGAGCTACGGCTGGGGGTCCTGCCTCCCTGGGCATGGGGTCAAACTGCCAGAGACCCCAGCCTGGGGTGGCAAAAGTGCAGCTCCCTTGCTTCTGGGTCTCGGGGCCACTTCGGGGTCCTCCGTCCTTTCTCCTGCCAGCCTAGGTCGGGGTCTCAGGCCCCTACCTCACCTGTGGAAGCTGGTCCAGCCAACACAGCGAAGGCCGAGCCAGGGCCCGAGCGG